GAAATTTAAAAAAACACATTTAAAATGTTACTATTTGTGTTAAAATCAACGAAACAACAAAGCCAAATAAATCAAGAAGACAGGGACAGTTTTTGTCAGTTTACTGAGATTTATCTTTTCTCTCTTCATGGATGGCGTGTCAAAAACAGTTTGAATATTCAAGCCATGTTTGAATATTCAAGCTACAAAATTCTATGATGTCGATGTATGTAAATACCGACAAACTTGATGTACTTATGTAGAGTCGAAAAGCATTTTGCGAGGAGCTTCAATTTCTATGGTAAAAAGCCGTTTTTTAGAAACTACTTATTACACCGGGTGATCTGAATGCACTCTACGAAATGATATATCTTTTATGAGCCAGAAATGGGAATTAATTTAAATAATATTACAGATATTAGGCTAAGATACAGTCAAGAGCCTAATTTTTGAGCGGGGTGAATAAATATAGTTATACGAGACCGCGGTGCATCACGGTTGATTATGGCCTTTTAGCTTACCTCTAACGCCACAGAAGAAGATCGGCCCTGGAACGAGAGAGAAATTTATTAAGAAAATATTTTCACACAAGGAAAACTTTTAGGAAATATAAACACACATTTTTAGCTTTTCGAAAGATCGATTGAATTTTTTTAATTAAACAGTTCTACTGTTGTCAGTGGCAGTTTTCTCAACAATGTGATCACGTGATATAAGTAAGAAGTAAGTATCACGTGATATAAGTAAGAACATCAAATGATACGGATTTTATCTTCGAGTGTTAAAAAGATCTCCCACGATTGAGCGTAGCGAACGACTGATAGATTTTCAACACGAGAAGATAAAATTCTTATCTCCAAGCGACCATGTGATATTATGTTCATCATATAATAACATATGAAAGCAAATTATGTCGTATTTTACCTTTTTCTTGCTTCCACTATATAGAGAAATCTTACGTAATGGAGAAATATAAGTATTTCATAGATAATTTTATGATAAACTTCTTAGTCTTATTAAGAATATGAAGTGATGTATTATACCTACATTGAGAATTGGTCAATTTGTTTTTCAAACTTACCGCGATTGTATCAAGCTTGCAGTATGTCTTCTTTATCAATGCTTTCACAAGTAAAGGTGCATTTAAGGCACTCTGACTCTCTCGGCGAAACCTTTGCACTTCATTAACTCTTTTCTCAATATCAGACTCAGTTTTTGTGGATTCTACACTTGGTTGTATCACTGTAATTCGATCTTTTGGGATCTTTTTGACAAACTTTGGTTTACTAGGCTGACTTGCCATGAAAGGTTCATTATCAAAGTTGATGTCGATGTTGATAATTGATTTATCGTAAGCCATCATTTCCGATACTTGCTTTTAGAAGCGTTAGCAGTTCTGTGATGGTTTGAGGTCTGAAATATGAATTAAACAGAAAGCGATAGTTTACTCAAAACTAGAAAATGCTTGGCTAAAACCAACCAACCATTCAATTAGCTAATCAAAAAAAAAAACAAAAAAAACAACAAAATAACCGACCGGCGACCAACATACTTTTTTTGATATACATTCAAAACCTTTCGGTTAATTCAGTGAACTTGTATACTTAAAAGAGCCAGGTTTCTCGGAGATCCTAATAAAATTTTCCTGTGTTTTTATAAAAGAGCTTAGAGTTAATGCACTTTTATAAAAAAAGTTTAATATCTTGTCGCAGTAGTTTTTCAACTTGCTTCAAAAACCACAGAACGCAAAACAATAACGTTGATTTGCGGTGATTTTTCGGTGAAGATTACACAAAGGAATAGACCTAGAATAGACAAAGAAACACAAGGATCTCAAAACACTCAAAATTTGCCAAAATTATATCATGTTTTCCAAAACAATTAATTTCTTTTGATATATTCACCTCTTACTATGAAAGAAAAGTTTCAAAGCGACCTGATCATAGTTATTTACTAAGTAGGTATAAAGTTTTTTGATGATTACTTTTTCCCTTTGTATGAACTGCATAAAACTACCAGTAGTTGGGTTTAAAAGAAGAGCGACGTATCTAAATTGAGAGTCATAGATTCGACCTTACATCACTATTAATACGAAAAGTAAAAGTTTTCAAATTCCTTTGCAAGCAGTTCAAAAGCGCACGTTTCCGCGGAGATTTATAGCTCACATTGCATCTTTGGTTACATACTACATATTTAGAGCTAATTACAGGTATTCAGCCCAGTATTTTCTGGCATAAGTCAGTCTCTTCAAGCTTTTTTCATGTAATAATTAACACCCTATACACACATCTACCAATAAATAACTCATTAGGATTAATAACGCAAATACAAACAATTCAGAAGAATAAAATCGAATACTAAAAAAMGYAAAAAMACCAGTAGTTGAATAGAAGAATTCAAATGTTGGTAAAGCATGCTTAATATACAATTTACGCTGCGTAACACACTATGTGATYAKTACAATCACGAATATTTCTGCGTAAAACTCAAGTCGGTTCATCAATAAAGAGATGCAGTACTTACGTATAACTTTAACTTCTTTTAGCAATTAACTCAAGAATTAGCTCATGGATGATATATGATATATCATTTCAGTCTGCTTTGTTCGATAATCTACTGATACTAATGTAGAGGTCTTAAGTGGAGTTACAGTCTTGATTCCATGGTAACCACGATCATCTCTTCGAAACGTTCCAATGCACGGCGATTGATCAATTACCTTGTAACATCGTTGATCAAAGCTTCCAATATTAGGARCGACGTACCAAATTGACTAAAGGTTTGACAATGACTTACGAGATCACTTCTAATGACAGTTACCAAGACATGMAAGTCAACATTATTTTGACTTGTGAAGATCTTTTATAACACGAAATCCTTTGGCTAATCTCTTGAGTGAATTCGGCTTGACTTACTAAAAGCAAGGAACAGCTATGCGTCTATTCATTCACCAAATGTCTTTGAGTCAAGGTCTGTTTTAAGCGCCACAAAGCATCCACGTAGAATCACACCAGACACCACAGGTCAAAGGAGTATGAATTTTGATAACAGGTTTTGGTCAGTCAATGGAACGCGATGTTTGTTCGTATTGTAAACAAATAATCATAACCAACAAAGACTACAAAGGGTTCTTTTCAACTCGCCCGAGGCACACTTTCTACTAAAGAACCAGGCGATCCCATGGGACCGTGAAATTGACGATTCTTTGGTGACTTAATTAACACTTTATTCGATCTCAGTTAATGTTTGTGTGACCACAGGGAGCCCAATTTAAGTTAAAACATACAAACAAACACTCCCAATTAACTAACAATTATTGTTCAGATTTACCAGCCTACGCTGATATTCATCGTATAGGGATTTTTCTCAAAGCGTCTTGATGAACGTAAAAACAATAAAAGGAATACTGAAGTATGCGACGCAATCTGTGTACAAACTCCGCCCCATAAAAGCTAGAATGAACCTCCGGCTCGCGCGTGACTCCAGTGCACAAACTAACTACGTCAGCGTCTTATTAAATGCAGCCGAGGTTTTGAAAAAAAAGTTTCGCTTATGATATCAAATTTCTCGTGGACTACTGACACTGAGTGTGAACGGAACATGAATGGAAACCCAATAAGCGGAAGAATCGTGTGTTTGAATAGTCTCCTTGGCAACCGTTCTTGGCTGTGGATCCCAGGCCCTCCCCACAAGGAAACTACTATTCGATCGGTCTGTTTTATCAAAACGTTCCTAGCACGAGCAGGATTCGGGAACACCTAGTAAACAACTGTCGGAAATACATTTAAAGTGCACATGACACCTTTTAGAAAAACACTTTTATCCGAAAGGTAACACGCTGACAAGCATTTCTGTGAAGGAAGAAATTGATTTTGAATAGTATATTCTGAGTTATAGACATTTGAAAATTGAAAATGCAAATGAAGTGACGTCAACTAAGGAATTGATCCAGACTTTTTACATTATTGCTTGTGCTATGCTGTTCTTGGTTAAAGAGCTCAAATCATTAATCATAGTAATAATTGAGATCTGAAAATGCTTTTTCCARTGTAACAAAAAGAATAACGTCCTCTTTCATGATTTTGTATATTAAATCATTCCTTAGTAGACGTCACTTCAGTGCATTTTCTAAGTTTCAATTGCCCATAACTTAGAAAATACAATTTAAAATCAATTTCTTTCTTCACAGATGTACTTAGCACTGAGCATTTTCTCTTTTGGATGAGAATGAATTTCTAATGGTGTCATGTGCACYGGACACTACATCTTATACTAGATGATTGCAGAAATAGAAATGAGCGCTAAATTCTGGACATCATTACCGTGTCGTAGCTAGAAATTTTTATTTTAGAATTGTCCTGTTTTTGAAAAATTGCTCCAGTTTGCATAGTCTCCTCTCGCAGCCGTTAGGACGTTCGTTCCCAGGTCACTCCTGGGAACGAACGTCCTAACGGCTGCGAGAGGAGACTACAGTTTGCAGCGATAACACTATTACTTAGTTGTTCGAAGTGGTATTTCGATGAAGAGATGGTTCTTGCAGTGAAAGTTGGTCTGCAGCTAAAACTGGGCAAATGGTACCGGGGACTACGGCCCCGCGTTAAAGTAAATACGATGTCACTTAGTTTCAATTTGTGTTTTTATTGCATTGCGTTAACTTGTTAAAGAATGAACGATTGAAAGAAGAATATAATATATACTTAATTGATTGTGCCTTCTTGATACTGTCTGTATATAGATACACAGTTACGACATTAGCAGACTTTATCATTAAATGCCTGGGATGCACATTGCACATTACTGGCATAGTGTCGATAACTATTACCCTTGGGTGAATATCTAACGACTAGGTAATCTCCCGAGATAGCAGCTCCCATCTTGGTCGTCTTTTTCCAAACCAGTTGCGTAAAATGCATCACACCGCCATATGGATGCCTTGCAGGTGGAAAGCTGCAATAATCTTCGTTATAATACTCGCAATATTCCTCATACCTAAAAAAAAACATTAAAAAAACATCAAACTATATTTCCTTCATTTGAGCCATTTCGCAGGCGTGTACATATCATTATTATTCAGAGAAAAAGGCCAGTTCATGCAGGAACTAAAGCTCTCCTAAACTTTTTCATAAGAGTCAATTGCCTTCCCGTGATCCTCTCCGGTTTTAGCTTTGACGGATGATGTAGACTTTTGTAGTTAACTGGGTTAAACTGTAAGGAAAAGACTGGGAAGATGGAAAGGGGAAGTTATGATGGGGTGACCTACGTAGCACGCAGTTGATGTAATGTATTCATAAAATGTATTGTATTCCATTGTTTCTCGTTCTATTGTATTATATCTTTATGAATATATTACATCAATTGAGTGCTACGTAGGCTCTCCCAAGTTATGATATACTTACCAATCTGCTACTCCTTGTTTACAAGACATATTTGGCCCATCTGCAATGTTTTCTCCTTCTCGTGTTCTCTTGTCGTGTATTGATCCAGCGTCCATCTTGTTTAGCTTGTCAGCCCATTGCTGYGCATGTCTGGCAAGGGTTGAATCCCATTGCAAAGGCGGAGCTCCGTGTCTTGCTCGTATTTGGTTATGCTCTCGTAAACACTCAGCCGCGAATGATGCTAAGAACAAATAAAGTTAGAGTCAATTCCAATACTCTTGAGATTCAATGATGACCAAGGTATATTTCTTTAATTAGTGAAATTCTAAAAAGGTGTTTTGAGAAACTAAAACCAATGGATTTAGTCTAATAAGACTGGTCAACAATCAAAAACCTTTTAATCTGACGAATGACTAGAATATACATCAGAATAGTTCAAATATAAAGGTGGCATATACTAATAAAAGAGATGTCGAACGGTTTTTGAGAGCTTTGTTAGTATGTTAGGACCTCGCTTATTTTTAGCGCCAACGTCTGTAACCATTGTAGTTCAGTGCAAACCTTTGTGAGGTCTAGAAGGGGACTACCCTGGTAATTCTTTCGAAATTTTTGCAAAGCCCAACATTCGATAGTTTTGTGTTCAATTTTGGTTGGGACAAATTAAGACCCTATCGCCGYMTGGGCTAGCATTCCGCCCTCTCCTCCCTTACGAATACTTACGAATTGCCGAYGCAATCTGATGAAGACAGCAGCTACACAGYAATACTAACAGCCACATGTTGGTTTAGCTTCGCTAATGAGATGGAATATCCAAAGCTACGATCGTAAAGTCTGGTTATAAAAGCGTGTATAACCCCACTGAACCGGATATGAAGTTCCCCTATAAAAGGAAATTAAAATCATCATTGTTCACGTCTAAAGTACACTGATTTACAACAATTACACCTACTCGAGCATTAAGATGGACGGAAGTTCAGGAAATATAGATTTGGTTTTAATAAACTCGCACACAATATGAGATTTGGGAATGCATGAATGTACTAAAGTTGCGTGAGAGAATAATTATGTGACTTTGAGAGATTCGTTTCAAATCGACATGACATGGTCATATGTGAGTTTTTCTATTCTGCAATCTCTCTGTAAAATGGTTGACAGGAATATACTTTTTGGTTTTTAACGCCACAATAGATGAACTTACAAATGAAAACTGACAACATAACGTTGATTTTCAAACTCGTTCTCGCCTAAAGTCTTTCCAATTCGGTGGGTGGGGCTGTTACTATGAGAAAGTTTCAGCGCAAKGAATGTTTTCAAATGTCTTAATCAGAGCTATGTTCACTTCGCTGTCGTCTGAAGACAGCTGCTTTAAACGTCCATTCATTATGACCAATCACTTAGATGACTAACGGGAATTCATGTGTTATATTGAATCATACAAAAAAAACTGTCTAATCAACAGAAATATATGTATAATACTCATCTGCGCTAAGACCTCACATTGCGCAAAAAAAATCATAATCGATTGTTTTGTAGTCAAATTCCCTGAGTAAAATATACTCTATATATCAGATATATACTCACAGCGTATAATTCTTGTAATTATTTTCCTTTTTATGTGAAAATACCGCAGGTCAGTCTTGCCCCACAGTGTATGTTAATTTCTCAGTTTTAGTAACAGCTCTTTGTGAAGTGTTCAGTTGCTTTTGAATGCAGTACAGACCCGGTGTTTATATACCTTTGTGGGCGGAATTTAAACTCTTCCTGTGAGCGAACACTGTACTATTGGGGCGGGATAGTTGCCAATTGACTTAAGTTAATCAATATCCGATTGATGCCAACATCAGCTCGACCTGCCACGTTTTATAATAACTTATTTCGAACAAATCAACTGAAAGCGACCCCCTAGTTTATATCGAGAAGGTTTATCGAGTATTTCAACTTCATTATATTTGTCATCTTTGTTTAGTGAACTGGAAAGATGTCCAAACCTAACAAGTAAAGTACCACTAATTCATTAATKTCTATACTAATAAAAGAAGTTTTAACTTTACTTCTTTACTCGTTTTTTTTTCTTTAAACATATTTCAAAGCATAGTAAACGTTCCCCTTGAATAGCAGAAAGCTGGTGCCGAAATAGAAAAAAAGGGAACTCCATGCAACTTAAAACATGCATACTTTCTTTCATTTTTGTTTTGTCTCTTTTTTTGTTTCGATTTTTTTTTTTTGGAATGTGCACGATTGCATGACCGGATAACATTGTCAACTTTTCCCTTGAACTGCTGAGCTGCAAGAGGAAGACTCGTCTTAAGGTCATCAAAAGACAAACCGGAAACATGTTGCTTGATGTCCAGTGTTCTAGGCATAGATCCTCAATGCAAGTTTCCGACGGAATAATCACAACCGCCACGGGAGATGAAGGTAGTTACTTGTCCATGAAGCTATCGTAATGGAAAATATAACAACAACAAAGAGTTTAAACGAGATTCCCCCTCATTGAGAAATGAAAACACGACATGAACACAATGAAGGACTCATGTAGGCAGTAAAAAAACAATTATGTAGTACAGGAATCAATTTGAGGAAGTCTTTGTACCGGTATTCTATGAATAGTACTCTTAGCACAGGAAAAGGATCTCTTGAAACTCATTACAGTATGATAATAGAGGAAGCGTCCTGATACAGAAAATACATTGAGCTTTCAGTATATCGAGTGCAATTTACGTGATTTATTTGTGCGACGATTGCAGCCTTTTTGCAGTTTGTTGTGTTATTTTTTGTGTGCGTGTTTTTTAATGATTCAAGATGAAATCAAGATGGCTCAAGGCCGTGAGGTTACGAAGTCGTTGACGGGCCCTGAAATGCTACAATGATACAATGACGTTAGACACTTTGATCACGTACGTAAGTCAAAATGGTCTGGTATAAAACGTTTAAAGTTTCTTGCAGCTATTTCAGTGTAAATTAGTTATTTTTTTGTTTGTTTGTTTGTTTGTTTGAATAATGACAATGTCAACAATATCCTGCTTTTGTGCTGTTTTTGATTTTTTTGTTGTTTGTATGTTTATTGTTTGTTTTTTGTTTGTTATTTTGTTTGTTTTTTTCATCTTCCGCGAGTACCGTAAACAAGAGCTATACATTAAAAATGATGATTATTCTAAGAGAACGACTGTTTTTCTAAAGAAAACTTAAACTAGAGTGTGAATCTTGTCAACATCAAGAGCAGGCTAATGATTGCAATAAGGCGTGGCTATAGGGTCAACAACCCGTCTTCTCCGAGCCAAATCTCGTCTTCCGTAGTATATAAAACCGTTCATGGCGGAACCGGACGCATGTAACTTTTCCGAAAAGACTTTTTCCGAAAAGACTTTTTTTTTGCCTTGCATGGGAAACAAAATGATACTGACGATTTGATGAAAGCATTATTGATGTTCCACAAGGCCAGTAATTGTACTTCCCCAGTCTCGGCACCCTGCGTCACAACCTGAATATCCGTCGCCATCTGATATTTTTTAAGAAATACAACTTTCTTCACGTTACAAATGACTTGGAAAAAGCACCGGAAAAACGAGTTTTTATTTCTTGCAATTTAAGGTGTAATTATTWTTCACTTCACAAGTCTACTAATTTAACAATAAACGCGCACGGCACAACGCCACTGTGTCTGTGCACCACATATTGTACTCAATGCAAAGAGACAAGCGAGACGATTAACACATAAAAGCTTAACGTAGAGTAKAGTCAACGAGTCTGACTGTTGGCAAGTCTAGTTAAGTGGATACTCATTAGCAGCCAAATGTTCTGGCCGTGCAACCCGAGTACTGTACTACAATTTACTGTATGATGCGAGAATGATACGAAATGCATTTATTCGTTCATTTCAGTTTATYCATCCACATTTATCCCTACTCTTTTTCATTTATTCATTTCATTTATTTGATTCCCTTAATCAGCCATGCACATCCACAAGAAAMTATAGCCCGACCAGCTGATTCTCTGCTGAAAAACAGAACGAGGCAGTCAGGTCAAGAAAACTGTTCAGTCTGATTCCGTGCGGCTGTTTGTGAAGCCATAATTACTTCATTCACCAATCCACAGTTGTTTACTCTCGTTTATTCATTCATTCATTTTCATTTTCATTTAATTACTTTCTTTACAAGCCATACAGCACAGCCTAAAGAAAGGCATTCGCTGCTGGAAACACAGAACTATAGAACAAGACTGTCGGTCGTGCAGTGTTTGTACAGTTGTCATGAAATTAGATAATTCGAAATCGCCTAAAACCCGACTGAATCCGATGTACTTGAAMAGGAAATACTGATCAGTCGAAAATACGATAAGCAAGTTTGTCTTGATATTGTTCATGTATTTGGACGATGTTTCTGGATGTCTACCGCTAGACAAAGAAAACGCGTCTTCATATGACCTGACGGAAACTACAAGACTGACATTTAATTTTCCCCTCAGCCACCTCTCAGCTCGTAGCACCTTWTTAAAATCAGAACTTTACGCGCTAATGTTTTCCGTGCAACCAATAAATGGCTTATTGAAAGCATCCCTTCTACATAAGACGACAAGCCTGATTTATATCAAAGTTTTTCTCACCGGTAAAAACCGCCGAAAAATGATTCCTATATATACTATTTAGCTGAGAACGTAAACGGTACTAGAGTCTTGTAATTTTTGAGATCAAGACGATTGTATAATCGTGTTTGGCCAAAATCAAAAAAACTTTTATCAAGGAACTTTTCACAGMGTAAAACGCTTACCGCAAATAATCCTCCGTCGAAATCTTATGACTGAAGGTKTGGATATGAAAACTAGCCGGCTGACTGACTCAAATTGTCACTTTTTGAATGAAACTCAAACTACTAAGTATAAAATTTAAAAAAAACCCTAATCTTATAAAAGAAGTAGAAATGTAGAAATAGTAAGAAAATTAATATATGTGACAAAAATAAAAAAAGGTTTTTGTATTTTGACAGTAATGCGATTTTTGGTAAACTGGACGATATTGAGCAAAATTGAATACTTTAGTCTCCTGCAYAGCGACGAGATTTAATATCATTTGTATTGATTTTTTTTCTTGAAATCAAATGATATTTGAATAGTTTAGCTTCTACGTAACGGCTTGTGTATATAGGGGATRTAGAATCGCCGACCGTGTGGTCACAGACTGCTTACGCTACCCTTTCATTTATTTTGTAATTTGATTCGGGAGAGCAAACTGCAGCACTTTGCACTTTCGATATTTGTCACTGAATGTATTTAAAACACTTATATGAAACCCCGCCTTAACATCCTGACCGATTGATTCAACGCAATTAGATGGTGCACTTTTTTGCTAGTAAAAAAACGCTGTCGGAATATCACTAGTGAATATTCAAATCATGTAACGAGATGTGTTCTTATATTCAAGTGACCAATTAACGATGAGTCGATGGCAAATAAAGTCAAGCAATTGGATTCAATCCAAATTCGATTTTGGAATTGAATGTGTGGCAATTGTAGCGCTAAACTATTATGTCCTAAATGAAAAGAGTCCRGCGAACTTGTAAATAAAATATGAAAAGTTGGGTGTGTCCAAACATGTAATCTATACTGAGAAAGCCCCTGGAGTGTTTACATACTACTAGCTGCTATTTAGAAATCATGTTAAATGATATCTGAGCGCCAAAATTAGTATACAAATTTGGCAAATTCAATGCTGGAGGTTTTTGCTATGGCGTATTAAATAACTSAGATGACATTTGTGAAGGCATCTAGCAGGTTACGATGAAGTTGAAATGACAGATATTATATATATCGAGTGGTATTTTTTTCTTTAAGTTCAGTCAGATATTTTAAAATTTGAATTTTCGTATGAGAAATAAGAACAAATTGAAAGCACTAAAGTGTTAGTGGCCATTTACACGCTTTTCATAAATAAATAATGAGATAATAGATTAAAAATGACTTTTAAAAAACGACCAAAAAAATGTCAATGAAAATAAATAAAACCTGAGTATTCTAGTTTGGGTTAAAACATAAAATGATAAAAACAAAAACAAAAATACCACGATCTTTGGAGAAGAGTCGTTTTGATTAATATCTTCACATTTAACACATTTTGAAACATATGGCATGAATATTAATTTTCTTTAGAAAAGTGCAAGCATCCCTTCATAGTAAAGAGAAAAAAAATAAAAAAGTAAAAAAAAATTCTGCACTTACTGTAGCTCTGTCAGTACGTACGTGCTCGTGTCTTGATCWATGAGCCGGTTCTACAAAGWCCTTTATATATCAAGTCCATCACAGCAATAATGATATGGGCCCAAGTTGTGGCCTATCGCCTTACGTTACTTAGAATGACAATTAAAAACGGATACATCGGTGGCATCGAGAGACCAATGAGTGAACGGAATTCATCAGTCATACGCCTAGCGCCTTGAAAGCCCTTCAAGGCCCGTAAAACACTCTTGTGATAAAACATCAGCGCACTGACTAAAAGAACTATTGTACAAAACGACTCGTAGCGATGAACCTATTTGTTGAGATCGATCAGGATTGTTTATCAAAAAAGGGCGTTTACTATACTCGAGTCAAGATATTTCGTTGGATTTGAGATATTTTCAATTTTCTGCTAACAGTTACGCCAGAGTAACTCCCTGAGGGAAGAGAAATATCWAAACAGCCTCACAACTACCACATGATAGTAGAAAAACACAAATTAAAAATTATCTCCCCCTTTAATAAAATGAACYAATATTACTTTCCAATCTGCGAAGTCGAGTGACAATTTGCACACTTYATCAAACAACTGCTCGCGTAACTATTCACCTGCCCATACCATGTAAGACCGATGAAAAGTCTGATAGCATAGCTGGGTTGATAACAATGCTAACGTTTCGTAGATTTTCCGGTACTTGCGTAAGGTAGAATCGATGATGGGCACATCTCTGGTCGATAAAATCCTTTTTACATTAAAAAGTCTTCGTRAAATAAATCTTACGGCATTTTGACAACTTGTCACRAGCWGAAMGCTGAAATGAAGCCTTTGAATTGAATGAATTAGTAATCCAAAAAATGATCGAAATATGTCGTATTTAATGTTATCTATAGCTTCATCATTAATGCAAGCCATCGARTCTTTTCAGCGATGTGTCGATGAAAGGTACGACCTTTAATTCTRGATATCATGACTGAATTCAGGGAGYTCAGGACAAGACGCAAAGGAAAAGTTGATTTGAAAAAAAGGCGGCCGTTGTCAATGAATTAATTTTTTACCATTATGGAAAAAATACTTTCACTCTACAACATTCACAAGAAGGTCGTCACTTAAGTAAATAATTCACAGACGTAAAAGAGGGAACAAAGACGCATGTRATATACAGTAGTTCGTAAATTGTTGAGTTTTTACAGGTCGGCTTCCTTTTAAACAGTCTTGTTTGAAGCCGCTCCTACTTCTATAGAATCTACAGTCTAATGCACGGACTACAAACAATGTTATACGCACTTAGATCCACTTAAACTACAAAAATCGTCGAATATTATAAGTGTTGAGAATGAGATTACACCGCAGCTTGCGATTATAATAAACCGCAAGTGCACTCGATCACCAGAGTAGAAGATACACAGTTTAGATCGCTTCACTTGTCTTAATTGACGAATTCACAAGCATACTGCAGTCCTGATTGGTAAACATTGGAGCGCGCACACTTTCTATGGAAAAATAATTGCGAAATCTATTTAACAGTCTTTCAGATAATTTTCAGTACAAAAAATCCTTCACAAGCTGCACAACAATTCATTGCGAGCCTTMTTGCAACCTCATGCTAAATGTCGATTTGCTTAAGTGAAATAACAGTTTTACTCAAGCCTATCAGGTCCAATAACGTTATCTTCCTTTGCAAAATACAAAAAAAAAACAGCAACAACAACAAGGAAAAGAGGTAAATTATAAGGATYCGACGGGAGGAAAAAATAATAATTGTGAATGTTATAGACAAAATTCTGACGGACAKCATATATCATTAAATCTGTTACATCACTATGGATAATTTCATGTARTCTTTGCTCTTTTCAGGCTAAATAGCTAAATCGATTAAACTCTCTCAAACACATTCTGTAGTTGGTGATAATTTGCTGGTTTTTAAAATCACCTTTCTTATATATTTGATAAATTTATATGTAAGCCATCAGTATTATTTTCTCCAATGACTGAATCTGATTACCGCGCAATCTCTCTCTGGATCTAACCCCGTTTTCTTCCTAATTTCACAAAAACGGGTCGACACCAAACTCCTACATATAAAATCTCTAAGAAAAACAACTCGCCCTTTGAGAGTTTATACGAAATATAAGCTTACCTTGCCTGAGTACGATCTTGGTTGCGTGTGGCTATAACCGGAGGGATTAGTCCGCGCCTTTTTATTGCAAGAATGCAATGCTTTGCGTGAATGCATCAATACACTTCATTGGTCGATGATTGTAGGTCTCAGCATGTTTTTTTTTATCGTCGTTACGGCCTATTGATATATATAATAGTTTTTCAATAACAGATTTGTACAAACAGCAGGGTTACCGTTTTGTTCAATCAAGCAAGACTTTTGAGTGGATTCTTCAACATAGCGACGCATTGGCATAGATAATATGCATTTTGGTACAAGCTTTGAATTCAATAATTGATGCAATCAACTCGATAGATTAGAAAACGGTATAGCTCATCACGTACCTTTTGATGTTGGGTGCCTGGACGGCTGTGCAAAACATCTGTGAAATCTTAGTCTAGCTGGAGAAATACAAGATGGGAAATTGGTTTCGGATTCGTCAGAACGTCGGARATTTTACTTAGCCCGGCAGGATACCAATTTCAAAAAGCGCGGAATAGTTTTGGCTCGCAAACAAAGCATTAACTAACTCTTTGGTCAAAATGACCTTATATGGACAAACCGTATTTATCTTGAACTTATACTTTACTTGTACATCTTTTGATGATTCCAAATTTCTCATACATGCATGCATACTAAAAAAGTCTTGAATCGAAAGCCAGAAAATTTCAGGGGAATCTAAGCACCCTTTGTTGAAAATTATGCCAAACAACAGCGAATACAAATGTTTCTTGTTTTTTTCTTTTAGTACATGAAATTATAAAAAGCTTATTTCAACAGTATACAAACATGGATACTGACTTAACAAATGCCGCCTTTCAATGGATCTCATTTTTTTATATCAATGATAATTTGAATATTTTATTAAAATGGCGGAATATAGGGCATTTRTTTCTGTCAAATCTGATACAAATCGAAAGCTTGCCCTAGGGAACGTTTGACAATTGTCAATAGAAAATCCTTTGTCAAGGAGCAAACTGSAGTACCGCGCCCTRCAGGCAGCCCAGCAGGGACGCGTAACTATCTCTAAATAACGTTCAAACCATTAGCAAAGAATGATAGCTATGAAACAATCTTCTATACACGGAATTCAATGCTATTTCAAGTAGGATAAATCGTATCYATTAAAAAATAAAATGTTAAAAAAGCACGAACTATTTACATGTTTTCATTCGATGAGTTTGATGAACAGTTTCTCAAACACCTAATTCAATAAAGAAGCGTCGAAGCTAGCAAAGAGARTCATGGGAAGATACGTAATTAGCTTTTCCATGATTCTCCTTGGTCTTATCTTCGATGATATAACCTTTTTTGAACTTGAAAAAGCATATTGAGGCGACGTCATACATTCTAAAGCAAAGCATGTTGGGAAATTCAGCCCTCGTACTTTTTTTTGTACATTCGCTAACATATTTTCCTATACTCATTTTTAGTTTTACAGAAAYGAGAAAGATACTTGAGTACTGTGTGATGTTCAAACTAACGTAAACAATGCGCCGGGAATGTAATCACCGCGATATTTTTGCTTGAAAAAAAATGATGACGTTACACATTGCCTATTTTGTATTTACATATCATAGACTCCCATGCCTCCCCTCCCATCTGACCAATGACCTTGAGACAATGTGACCTGTGTTCGTGATAAAAAGTCAAAAAATACACAGGGAACCCACAACACAGCAAGGCTTGACCTCTACTTTGGAAGCAACTTCAAATGTTTWAAGGTTCTTTCCATAGATATTTTCAAGACGTTATTAGAAATATCATAGTTAGTTGAGTTTATGATAATGAAATTAAAATTTCATTTCGCCATTAGAGGTGCCAAAGAGAGGAAGGACATGTCATAAATGAATAAATACTGGATTAGAAGATTGATTAATAAGCTTTGTCTCACAACAAGCAATTAAATCTGCATAGTTTATCAGCTAAAAGAGAGAGCGACTGCATAAACTKTGAAGGATGGTCAAGAGGTTAAGTTACCTATAACTCATTCCAAAATCTATTTCATAAACAAAGATAAGGCACTATGATCGACAATTATATTATGAACAATATTGTATTCTTGATATTGTTATCAATATTATTTGTTGTCCTAACGGCATAKTGTTTAATCATTTCATTRCTATTGAAATTCTTATCATTAAATKCTCAATTAATATGATCTCAATATCAAGAGAATCCTTCCCCTATTGGAAAAAAAACTTTGAAGTTATTAATACTAAAGTAGTTTAGTAATCATTCACTGTACAATATGCAGCTTCATAATTCTTCATAAACACAATGTGAAGGATGTTTGGATGCATTACACCATAAGTACAAATAGAACTATACACACAATGCTTAGCTTCCCCATTAAATATATTGCCCTGGAATGTCGACCAAATGAATAACTAAAGCAAAACAAACATTGTGTTGACAGATAATAGCATATCAAAGAACACAAGCCCATAATGTCTAATTATAAGCATGTTGTGTGTACGTGCGACCTCTTGGTTGCGCAAAACAGTTTGAGATCCAATATTGTCTTTTTATGCATGGCTATCTGTCATTACGATTGTATTTATTTGAATCTTATTTGTCTGTCATAGGATATGCTAATTTACATATGAAATAAGMAAATTGATGATTCAAACATATTTTAATTGAAAAAAAAAAAACTTTTACCTCCACTGGTGCTTGATCCACTGACCTCCTGACCAATCCACATGACAGCGTCTCTGTTTGGTGCAACATCTTTCAAAATGGTATCTCCATAGACCAACAATAATTTCTTACAAACTGTGAATTAAGAAAGGMCAATGATGGATAATTTGAAACATTTTCAATTCTACACAATTAATCAGAATGTGCTGGAGGAATTCCATAGCATGGGTGAGGAAGCAGGGAAGAATCTGCCAAAGATGACAGGATTGACAAGCAAACTATCTTAGAATGACAAATTATAGTTTATTTTTCCAAAAATAATTTGTGTAACGGCATCAACATTCTAAATGTGTCATGCAATGATTTTTACAATGATTTAAAGCCATTTAATCTCGAGACATTTATTCATAGCCGACTCCTACACAAAACCTCATGCAAGTGCTCCAGGGAGGTGGGGACCAGGAAGTAGTGGCCCTGTATAGTCCCGGTCATTAATTCTGGGACATGCAGTCCCCTTCCCTCCATCCCACCTAATATAACATTTCATGACACCATGGTGTAACTTCACAAAGTCAAGTATTCGTGAAAACTCAATAACAAACGAGCCTTTGTACTGACAGCCTATATCAAAACTGCATAAAAATTCATTAAAAGAGGATTTCGAATCAGAACAATTTATACCTAGTGTTTTCAAGAATCATATAMTGCAATATAAACATAGGAGGTGGACCACTAAAGTAGTAAACATTAACTTACCTATAACATGATGATGTCACAAAATTGGATTTCTGGATTTCTGTCTGTCAGCCATCCTTACCTTGAAGCGCGCCTGCGAGCCTTTTGGTCATCTGTTTCGTCCGCGGGACGGGTTACGGGACACGGGAATGTTTTAGATCAATGGTGTATCAACGCTGGTCTAAAGAAAGTAACCATAAAAAAGAGTATGCCATATTATATCAAAGCGACTCTTAACTTAGTGACTGGGCTTTTAAACAGCACAGCTTAATAGGAAAATATTTGCACTTTTTGTGATTTCTTGTCCGCCATTTTTTCATTATTTCTGAGTTTCTTTCTCCTTTTCTTTCGCAATATTTTGCTCATTTAACAAATTCGATATTCATTCAAAGATGAAGAAAACTGAATTTACATTTGTTACGAGGTCTAGAGCGGGCAAGTCACTTCCGTTTGACACGCGATTTTTGTAAACTAACCGAGTTAAAATTTGATTGTAATTTTACATGTAAACTATTATATGCTGTGATTAATGACCTTTCATCAGTTTTRTAACATTCCTCTCGTTGGCGTGTGATCGATATCAACCATAGTCAGGTGTAGCCGGCAGTAAATCATCCCCTAATAACATCGTGACGTGTCGGCGGAAGTCCGTCTTGTCTGCTAGACAGCCTTGTTGAAAGAGCCAACGTTACCTATACTAACAGCTTTTCAATAATTATAGAGACAGAGTAGTAAACAACATATACAAACTACATAGTTAYATACAATGCCGGACTGTAAGTGCGTGTCATAGGGCTATAAAAGGGCAAGTTTATATCTTGAAAGGGGAAAATAGAAGCGAATCTGAATGGAAATTTGAATCGGACAAGTGGATACTTGAATTGTAAAATAGTTGTAWAGAGCTGTTATTTAGTAGAACAGCATCAGAACTGCTGTAAATATTTTTACAGTGGGTCAGTTTTCAAGATTGTTTGGGTTTTAGAGTCAATCCTTTTCCGGGGAATTCAATTCAGGATTTGTATTCTTATAGCGGCTCTATGAACAAGAAACGGAGCAGAAACAACAGAATCAGAACTATATATCAAGAACCTTTTCCACAAGAAAKATATTTTTACATTGCCGAGCACAAAAGAAAAAGCATGCATGCCACTATAAACACACAATTGACGTGCACGGAAACAACAACAACAGAATTAGCTAAGGTTCTATCACTTAATAACCGCGTCCTAGCCTATAGTTCAGCATCATTTACATCATAAGCTATCTAGTATATGTGATCATGGGTAAATCACCGTGAATAGAAACGTTGCGACTGTTGCGACATTCAAACAGGGCCACAAATTATCAGCAGAATAAATGTTATAAGTCACGATAAGGGGATGCACACCCTTACAGAGATATACAATTCATACAATAAGCCATCGTCAAAAGCCATTAAAAAAGGACTAACGATCCCCATCACTTGTCATACATCATGAGCTACTCGCTAATGTCTTGTCAGACTGAATGGCCTCATTGCACACAACATTGCCTAAAAATGACAAATATCCGTACACTTTTTAATATTTCTCAGCTGAGTCCTTTTCTGTGCGTTTTGCCGTAGATTCAATGCCAAGATCAGTGTTTAATATTTTAAACGAATACCATAGCGGCGCAAATCAGTTATGCACGCTTAGATAAATGATTTGAGTTGAGTATTTCCGCGACTGCTCTTTCAAGTTTACTGAATTAAGAGTGTTTGCAACCGAATCTGGATGGCAATCGGCTAAACGATAAACCACACTGCTCACAAGGTCATCGRCCAAGCCAAAAACAACATCTACAAATTGAAAATTCGATGTGATATCATGCTGTACAAGTGATGTGACATCATTTCCCAAGTGTCTTGAAATCAACAAGCGTAATTTAAAAGAAAGAAAGATTAGACAGTAGAAATCACCGTTGACCATGGGTGGTCAATTACCCATTATTAACACATCATTTTTCCTCATTTAAACTCTTTWTGCTGATTGGCTGSCATTAATCATGTGATCATTGCACAACACGGACCTGCTTTATTTAAGACTGTTGGGTTCCACTTTCAAATAACAGGTTRCTTGACCAACTTCAACCAACAATTAAACATGAATCCTTTTGCKTCTGCATATTATAACTTTACAGCAGCTCAACGCGGTGTCAGCCCAGGAGTGAGGCTAAGTGCTGGGCCTCAGTACCCATTCAATCCCATAAGCACTGCGTACAAAACACCATACGTTGTCGGTCCCATAACTGGACAGCAAGCTTCCCCTTACGGTCTACAGTGGAAAGTAAGGCAGATCCAACCAAACCTATTACCAAAAACTCCTCTAAATTCTCCAATCAGGGAGAGCARTTCGTTGTCCAACGCTTCTACAAGAGCCTCACAGCAAGGAACAACTACATCAGGTTAGTAAATATGATAAATTGGTCTGTCTTGTCTTGTACGATAAGCTTGCGACTCTAGTRATTGCGGCTTTGGCGTTCGGAGCATAGTTTGAAGAGAAAAAGCTCGTCAGGCCTACGGCCAAAGTGTTTTTGCAGGACCAATTTGAGTCTAGCAAAACTGCAGCGCTGTTAATATCAGGGCAAAAAGTTCAAATTTGTTATGTCTCTGATGCTTGAACCGCATGTTAACAAATGAATCGAAAACAGGGTCAGTAGCCTAAGTTAATCCTACATATGTTCTGCCAAATAAATACATTATACACTATCCGGGACAGTTTAAGACACTTTTAAGTACTGTTAACCGAGAGGTTTTCATCAATCGAAATATCTTTRCCAGTTAGTAAAACCAATGGTGATATGATATTGCGTGTTGTCGTCTAGTAAGAGGGATTTCTGTATCTTAGTTTCGAGATAAATGAGCTTTAAAGAAACTTAACATTACTTTATTCAGTAACGATTAGTTAAGCTGGAAAACAAATGGTTTAAGTTTCCACTGACGTACCTACGCAATATCGAATCGTTGAAAGCAACGCCCATTAACCAACTGACAATGCCATCTTTCAGAAGCTCGACAAACCGTCGAATTTGTCTAGGTATTCACTTCTTAAAAAACAAGCATTGCAATTTATCAAAACACTKTAGATTTTACAAATGATGCATCCGTTATATGGAGTTGAAATAGGAAAATGTTGGTTARAGTTAAGGACGTAATCCTGTCGGTCTAAACTTGATAGACATCCGAATTCTAGCTRCTAGCAAGCACAAGGTAAGAACAACGATGCCTTCTTTATGATGTTTCCCTTAATCGCGAAATACTCGAAAGCTGGGAATCAGGGCAAGGTTTCATATTTACTGGAGTTAGCACTTTTAGAATTCAGCAATACARCTTTATTTTCCTCCTGACGATTCATTCACATCCGAAGAACGTTCTCGATAATTTAAAGTTCGCACTCGCCCGAGAGTTACTCCCCGAAACTCTCGTAGGAATATGGTACATTAATCTACAATTAATCTGTTTAGATTATTAGTGTATAGCGAGTAAACATGTCGTACTAACAAGGTGACAATAAATTATACACTAAGCCAACATAGCAGAACTCCTGATGGGAGAGTCTCCCGCGATTAGTCCGTCTTGCGAAGGGATTAGGTAGTTCTCTCAGCATTTCTGCAATTCTCCTTAGTCTGCTAACATTCATTTTGCATTTTGGTTATAATCATGTGTTTTTCTTGGTGCGATTTTAAGCTATATGAAGTCAGTATACGAAACCCAATTTCTGCATTCAAAGAGTGTTACAGATGCCATCCTCTTGCGTTCCTCTATCAGCCAATTGCTGATAGTTTGCTTTGCGACATGTTATTCATATATAGGGCAGTTCAACTTTAATCCTTGCGAGCCAAATAAATGGATAACTTACGGCGAAATACTTTTGATAAATTGTAGATGTGAAATAGAGCACGAAGCCGTTTCGCCTTCTGAGGTTGTGTTGTGCGTGTGGTTGTTTTGCGATCCGATTAGGAAGTTGGTTGGCTAGTGCTTCWTTTTTGTCCATTATTGATCATTATGAAAGGAAAACGTTTTGTGTATGTAAAGAACTTTTTTATKAGACGGTACTTAGAATCATTATATAACTGAACATGATGTTTCTCCTTAAAAAAWCCATCATGGTTGCCCGATACATGCATTGGTTGTCCACAGCAAAGAACATCCCAACATACCTCATACAATTCTGTTTATTGCATTTAGTCTTACGTTTATCAAAAACGAAATACATCCAAACTTATCACCTAAAATTGTATTGAAACGATCCTTAGAAATACCAAATATTTTCATTGTTATATGTGAGTTTACCTGATGTTCAAAATGGCGGATTAATGTCTGATTTATTTAAACTTGTAAATTAACCTTAATTAAACTTGTACATTAAACCTGTACATTGTATATCGCATAAAAAAACCTTTATTAGACTTACAACTACTTAGAAAACAAGTTTTTCAGTAAACAACACTGAATTTATTAGTATTTGAAACTTACACTAGCTTCTTTCAGCATGAACTAATCCACTAATCCAGAACTATGCTCGGCTATTTTTATACACTCAACGAATCGCTAGAAACTGAGAACCTGATCATAACAATTGTCTAATCCAAGATGAATTTCTTTTAGTAGGTCACAACAAACTAAAATCCTCGTGTGGTAAAATTAAACGCAGTTTTTTCTCTGGTAAAATGTTTAGTTGAGTCAACAAGGGTGGCTGCGTTCCTCCATCGTGTGGGGTTATAATGTTTACGTTGTCAGGGATTTAGGTTTTGAATTAAAAAACGCAATATACAGGCTCTGAGAGCTAACCGAGACCATTTCTAAACATGAACAATGTATACAGTAAGATCTCAGAACATTCTTTGACTATATTACCGTATGCGTTTAATGCGGATCAGTGGTTTCTCAGYGAATAGATAGTTTGATAGTTTTATCTCAATGTTCCCTTCTTATTCTTGTCAGGATTTCAAGTGAATAACGAGACACTGAGTCACTCCAAATATCTCTCATCATGGACCTCAGCGAGCGTTCGTTCTCGATCAAGAACAGCCTACACACAAACACAACAACTTGAATTAGAGAAAGAATTCCTGTACTCAAGATACCTAACCAGAACAAGAAGACTAGAACTCGCTAAATCACTTGGACTCTCTGAAAAACATCTTAAAATATGGTTTCAAAATCGACGTATGAAACTCAAGAAAAGCGAGATGAATTTCTGTAAAGGAAAAGCTAACACTAGTGAAATTCGTCAGATGTACGATGATGACGGGGTGACTCAGTTTTGGGAATGAACTCTTCTGAA